AAAGAGCTCTGGCTCAGGAACCAGGACCCAAGACCGAGTCCTTGTTCTGCTGAAAACTTGTGTGAATATGGTGGAAGTTCTCTAGGCCTCAATTTCCCCATCTGTAAGGTAAGGGGCCTAGGCCTCAAGGATGTCTAAAGGCCTCTTTAGCTCTGATATTCAATGGTGTTAATACCTGACGTGCTCTAACTGCAGAACAATTACATAAAATCAGGATGCGTGAGGGGCGGTGACACACGAGGAGAGGAACAGCAGGGTCAGGCTATGTTGTTTGGTGCTTCCTTGTCCACGGAGCCCAAGACAAGGCTCTGCAAAGGGGGAGTTGCAAGATACCTGCTGAGTTGAGGCCTCCCACGGCATAGATAAGGCCAGCGATGGATGTGCAGCAGCGAGGCCGAGTTCTGAAAGCTGGCAGGTGAGGCCGGCGCTCTGGCATGAGGTGATAGTCCTTCGCTTCATCTACCAGGTCCCTGGAAAAAGGTGCAAGATGCTAGGACAGGAAGTATCTTCCCCACTTGGTCTACATTTGCACTTCAAAGCCTGGCTCCCCCATCTCCAACTGTGGCAGGAACTCGGGAAGAGAAGAATTCTGGAAGGTTTGGTCTCAAAGAACCAAGGTGAATCCAGGAGGAACCATACAGAGCTACTGAGACATGCTCAAAATTGGAGGAGGAAGATGAGTTGAGCCCACCTAGGCTACTGTACTCACAGTGAATATCTTCTAACAGGCACATACCTGGCAGGAGAAAAACAGGGTGGTGCCTAAAATAGCTGACTTTGGAGAGGTTCAACAAGCAGCCTGTATCCTGTCCGCTACCCAGGCCCAGCTCCTTTCCATCCCTGTGGCTCACACCCTGCAATTAACCATCTCTTGCCTGGACTGGGGCAACAGAAGCCAGCTGCTCCTGACGAAGTTCCTGCCGCCAGCCCTACTCCTCCATTTCACCTTCCACACTCAGTCCAAGCTGCCTTTCTGAGAACTGTTGATGGCTACCCTTTGCCTAGATAATAAAGTTCAAACTCAACAGCTTCTGTGAGACTGCATGTCACAGGGTCCCAGCTACCTCCGGGCACACCTCCACCCCTAAGTGACACACGTCTTCATTCCACTTGCATTGAGCCACTGAACTAGCTGTGAATATGACAAGCAATTTGCAGGAGAAACAGTTTTCTCTGCTGCTCTGCTTTTGCAACGATCTTCCTGGAGGGCTCCCATCTTCTGTGTTGTTTTGGTAGCTCTGTTATGCCATGTCATCATGGACTTATTCTGGGCAGAAGTTTCATGTGCTGGTAAATACGGCCCCCTCCTTGCCCATCACTGTAGATGCAGGCCCAATCCCACCTGAGGCCAATGCACTGACTAATGCTGACTGAAGGGGACAGGAGCCCCGGACAGTCACCACTATGTCAGCTGCTGGTGTGAACAGGGTCAGGGCAGGCAGTATAGATGCCTGTAGGTTCATCAGTAGTGCACTGGGTGGAGATGCTAGAAAATTCTCAGGTAACTTTGGGAGGAAGCCCCTTCTGCTTTGATGCTCCATACGGCACATATCTCTGCCCATGGTGTAGACAGAAGGCAGATCAATCTGTGTGCCATGGATTAAGACTGACTACTCCAGACCCTTCCTCTCCTGAGCTGAACGGAAATGGCCTAAGTGGCCAAGTTCTCCCCTCTGCCCAGACCCTTGGCAGCAGGATCCTGTGCAGGCCCACCTTTGCTCACCTGCACTTGTGGCAGCAACGCACCAGGTCATCCTGCTGCACTCGGTCTGACAGGAACTGGGGCCGGCAGAGGGGCAGGCGGATATTGGACAGCAGCTCAGGCAGGCAGAGCCCCCTCTGCTCCCGGTCATATCTGACCCAGGCCAACGCGGCTTCAAAGACCTGCCATGACAGACAGCGGAAGCTGCGGGGGCAACTCTTCGCAGCCAGAGGCCACATCCTCATCTTCCCAACCTCCAGCCCTCCACTCCCCCTAGTGAAGCTGTCCCTGGGCTGTTCAATCTTTCCAGTTTCTCTCCTGAATGCACTGTTTTCTCTCCACTTCCCCAGCTACCCCATTCAGTCCAGTCTCATTACCGTAACAGCTCTGGCTTTCATTATGCTGTCCTAACGAAACCATCAACGGCTCCTTATTCCTTTCTGCATCGCAACAAAGTGCCTTATACCTCCCTTCCTGCTCTTCCTGAACCCTACTCCTAAATTCGCCCCACCACCCTCTACTCTAGCCAGGCTGGCTGGTCCCCTGTTCACACTGTCACCTTCACCTAGAATGTCCCCTCATCGTCTCTTCATCCAAACCCACTCTCTTTTCTTCAAGGTCTGGCTCAAGATCCATGTTCTCCATGGAGCCTTCCCTAATAGCTCTAACCACAAGGTCATCTCTCTCTAAAACCCTCCAGGCCTTACAAATGTATCACGCCAATAAATGTGAGCTGCCCCGGTCATATTAATTAGTGGAAGAGCTAGGGACAGAGTCCTTGCTCCTAGGATGAGCGAGCACCCACACTGCTGAGCTCAGGGTCCACTTTTCTACTGCTAATATTTGGGGTAAGGGCTCTTCAGACATTAAGAAAATGAGCTGAGTTGGGACTAACATCCCAGCGGTTTGCCTCCTGGGAACTGGGGCTCCTCCCGCTGAAGCAGAGCTTCATGACAGGCTAGGACTCTTGATTTCAAATATGCCAAGCTGCCCTGCCATGGGCTTTGGCTGGACCTCCCCACTGACCAAAGTGGCAGAGGCCTGGACGCAGCGGTGCTCCCAGTGCTTGCAGGGCCAGGCCCAAATGTGCACCTCACGGCCCAGCCCTCGCCACCCTCTGCTCAAAGCAGAGTTTACTCACCATTCTCTTAAAACAACTTGCACCATATCTGCACTGAACAGAAAGGATCGCTCTTTGCTCCTCTCTGGTTACTAACACCCTAAACTCTCGTTGAAGCTTTTCTTGACCACCCCAAGATATTTCCTTTGTCCACAGAGGACCCTATAATCACTCACACCTTGCTTTGCCAATAGCTTCACCTCTTCCATAATTTTAAGTATAGCAGCACCTGACTGCCGCCTCTAATCCTTCCAGCTCAGTAACTGATGCCAAGCAGCCTTTGACGTGCTCCCCCTCCCCCAACCTCCCTCTTAGGTCCCCACCTCCAGCCTATTTCCTCACCTCTCTCTCATCCAGCATGGGCCCCCTGGGTTATTATGTGGGTGCCCTCAATTCCCATACTATGCACCTCTCTCCCTTAATCACACTTACTTGGGAAAAAAAAAATCTCTATTCTGGAGACTCACCTCCTACTCTGTACCTTTACTTGTATATTTGGCTGACAGAAAATGCACAATGGAGCTGACCAGTTTATCTTAAATTTGTGACCACTGATCTCATCAGGTCCTGCTTCCTATCAAGCCCTATCTACTTCCTTAGCATCATCCACTTCCTCTCCCCTGTCCTGGATGTCTACAGCATACCTTTTCAGCTCTCCTCAAATTTCTAATACTCCTCCCTCATCCTCAGCTGAGAAAATAGAAACAAGTCGAAAGAGAATATCAATAGAACATGCCAGCATCTCCCTTTCACCCCGCCCCTCCCCTACAGCTAGGTGTGTGGACTGAACAGCCTGCACGCCTATCAAATACACACTCGTAGTGGCCTAGGTATGTCCCCTCTCATTCACCTCAGGACTTCATTCCTGCAACTATTCTCCCTTTTCTCCTACCTTATCTATCTTCCCTCTTCTCTGGAAAATTCCCATCAGCAGTCAAATTATATTGTAACTTCTCTCAACTTGAAAAAAAACCCCTCCTGACTTTGTACTCCCCACCAGCGACTGCTCCAATGCTCTGCTCTCCTTTAGAAAAAGACTCTTTCAAAAATTATTTCCAGCTCATAGCAGCACTATTTCTAATAGCGAATACTGGAAATAACCCGAACATCCAAAATAATGAAAGCAAGGTTGATAAAATGAATGGAATATTATTTAGATATTAAAATGTATAAAAAGTTGCCATGAAAAAATGCACGATACAATGAACAACAGTTGCATACACACCATGATCTTCATTTTGTCAAAATAAATAAAAAATAGAAAGCAAAGGATAGAAAGCAAAGGGCGACACCTCTGCCACCCACGGTCTGCCAGTGTGCTCTACAGACCTGTTCCTCAGATTTGACATTCAGCTCATCCCGAGACACCAGCTCGAGCACGTCCTCCAAGGGCAAGGCCAGGAATTCTTCTGACGCGGACACCTCCACAAAGTGCTGGTGGATGAAGCTGTTGGCTGCATCGTACAGCACAGCGCACATCATTGTCTCAGCAAATTGGCGTACACCTAGGCAATTTTTTGGGTGGAGCCTTTTGGCATAAGAAAAGAGGAAAAGAAAAAATTGAGAGAAAGAAAGAATGGTATCTTTGATCATTCTCAGGTTGGTTCTGGGTAAAGCCACAGAACCAAAAACAACACCAACAACAAACTTTGTCTTCAACTTTGGAAACGCCCTGTGTGACATCAGGCGCCTCTCTGGGACTCAACTTGTAAAGGTATAAAATTAAGACAGATTATCCTCAAAGGTCCCTGCCTCCTGGGCCTACTGTTCTGTGCGTCCAGATGGAACGTGCCCTCTGCAAAGTCCTATGATGTAGCTCTCAGAGGAGAAAGATTAGAACACATACTGAAGGACCTGTTGACATTCTTGGTTGAGTGTCCACCTTTGGTCACCAAGAAGGCACTGAAGTTGTAGCATGAGAGTTTAAACCACGAGGAGAGATGACGTCCTTAACACTGGGACCCTTACACTTTTCTCTATTTTTAAACAGAAAGGGGCACGATGGGTCTAATTGTTCAGACAGCCAGCTATGACATCCAGGCTGCTATCACCTACTTAGCACCATCGGGAGTCAGGTACTTTCCCAGGCCTTCTGTAGGCCTTCTCCAGAACCTTTTCAAGAACACTGCCAAGTAGTTATCACTCTCATTTTTAGATGGAAAACTGAGGCCAGAGAAACTAAGAAGGATATGTCACTGGGGCGTGAAGAAACTGCCTTGGCCAAAAAATCACTTTTCTTAGCATCTTTTTAGGTGACACGACTTTGTACCAGCCTGGATCCAGTGTTGACAGTGATGACCTCCAAAGCCCCTAGGGGGAGCTGCTGTCCCCTTGTGAGTGGCCAACTTAATCCTTTCCAGAGTGCCTACTTAATCATTCTCCAAGTTCTGTAGGAACACGGAGATGAACCACGTCCAGTCTGTGTCCTTACGAAGCTCAGAAACGAGTAGGAAAGACAGCGGTGCCCCACGTGCCCACATGCAGCCCTGCAGCCTGCCCCAGAAGGCGTCAAGGGCAGGGTCAAGCCAGGCTCCGGGGCTGCACTCTCACCACCTGGCCTCCGCTTGCAAAACCCGGAACGGGACCGCCTCCTTCACGATGAAACCACTCACCCACACCCAGCAGAGTGTCCCCTGCATGTGAAGTGTTGTGACCACGGTTTATAGGACTGCCTGCACACCCAGCAGTGCTCAGTGACATCCACAAACATCATACGGGCAGGATGTGGGCCGCAGGTGAGGTTCACAGAACTGCTGAGTGAACTGGGTTGGTGGAGATGGAACAGGAGCGGGAGGGGTCAGCTCTAAGAGGGGATAAGTTTCGAGGGGCAGATCTGCAGTGGGAAGGATGCTGGCCTTCAGGCCAGGGACCTGGTGATCGGAGTGCTCGGGTGGAGACCAGGCATTAGAGAGCAGCACACACATAAGGCGCTTGCTGCTCTGGTTTCTCCCTGCCTGTGTGCAGCCCAGCACTAACCCTCACCCCCAAAAGCCTCTAGTGGTTAATAGGCGGTTTTTATTTTCTGACTAGACCAAGAGCTTTGCCTCTTGAGGAAGAAGAAGAGGCTCATCTGCTCAGTCAGGTCACTGCCAAGTGCTGGACATAGGTAGGGGTATAATCCATGGTCCTTACCCTAAAAAAGCCTACAATGATTGCTCCCAGGGGACAAGGGGACAGAGGATTCCAGGAGATAAAATTTGGGGGGACTCTCAAAGAGCTGAAGGGAAAACAAAGATCAAGAAACTGAAGGAGGAGGAAGGAGCTAAACAAAGATGGAGATGTCTGTGGAATGGTCAGGGAGCACTGAATAAACCAGTGGTGAGAACAGTAGGCTGAATCAGCAGCTGGTCAGACTGGAGAAAGAGGACCAGACGAAGAGGTACGAGTCAGGCCAAGGGAGAGTGCAGGCGGGGCTTCCTAAGTCATGTTTCTCAAAGGTTCAACCCAAAGAACTGGGTGCTGCTTCATACGGATTTCAAGAAAGGACATTTCTACAGAGTAACCTTCCCAGCTCACTCTCTTCATAAAACTGTGCGCCCCAAAGACTCAGCAAACTGGCAGGGATTCCAGAAGTAAAATGGCCACGCTCTCCACTCCAGGCCAGGCCCATCCGATCACCTCACCGTTCTCGAAGGAACGTGCAGCAGGCGTCCTTGATGCTCTGCAGCTGCAGGAAGCTTGCTCCCATCAGCAGCGACTGGACATTTTGCTGGTCAATGGCAAGGTGGCCATTGTAGGCAAAGTTGATCAGAGCTTCCAGGGCGCTAGAGGAAAGAGGAAGGATGCTCTTCAGAGACAGGCCACAGGAGACTCAGGCCCCCGGTGAGCTGACGTCACTCCCTGGGGAATGGATGGGCCCCACTCTGAAACCCATTTAGCCCAGGCCCTTTGAGAAGCTATGGGAATGGAACAATTACTTCGCCACATCTAGACTCATTCTACTTCTTGTATTTACTGCCCAAATAATTTTATAACAGAAAATTCTAAAGAGAAAGCGATTACCCACAATCTCACTACTGAATGAGTCAATGATGGTCATTTTTCTAGGTTCGTTTTCAGTCCTCACTTGCCTGCGTGCATAATTTGTATGGATATAATCATATAATACTTTTGAGGCCATTTCCCATGTTGTTTCACTGCCTTCACGTTGATCATTTTTAGTGGCTGCTGTATAGTATTTCGGCATGAAAATATACTATCATTTATTTCCTTTACTGGTAGGTATAATAGCTATTACCATCTGATTGTCATTCAAATAATGTTTTTGGATTATTATTTCTTTGGGATAAATTTTTAGAATGAGAATTCCAACATTTTTTCCCTTCCAATTCCAACAGAGAATGAAATCTGAATTCCACTCATAGGGCTGTATGTGGTCTGGCCCCTCTCCATCTCTCTGACTTCACTTTCCACTCTGTCCCCCTCACTCTAGTCCAACACGCTGAACACGCTCTCACCTCAGGGCCTTTTCACTGGCTGCTCCCTCTGTTTGGAGGGCTCTTCCCCCAGATGGTTGACTCCCTCACTTCAATTAAGGTCTTGGCTCAAATGTCACCTCATCAGAGGCCTTCCCTGATCGCCCTGAATAGCAGACCGCCCACCATGATTTGTAGCCTTTACTCTTTACTTTTTTGTTATCACTTTCCCTTCCTAGCCATTCCATGTGTGTATGTTTATTGCCAGATCCCTGCTATTAGGAAGCTTTCTGTTTTCCCAGTGGTATACCTCAGTGCCTGCAGCAGCACATACTACAGGTGCTCGGTCTACCCCTGCTAAAGGCAGCACCTGGACCGTGCATGGTGATTAGTACGGCTCTTTCAGATACTGACCCAGAGAAGAGAGTGTACAACAGCCCTTGGAGACCCACTTCTGTGTCTTTCCTTACAACTACCTGGCCTGAGACTTCTGCCTTGCAGTGGGTGTATAAACCCTCTCGGTGTCCGGGGGCAGATCACCTTCAGTCACCCAGTGGGTACCACAGTTCCCAAGCTCCTTTCCCCCTAGTTTTCACCATTGTGAGATGAAGAAGTTAGGCAATAAATGACAGATTACAGGCTAGTGTTGCAGAGTTACTGGTTTGTTTAATGTCTCTCCTCCAAGGAGGATATCAGTGCCCTGAGTCACCTTGTGTGTCATGTTTGCTGCTGCATTCCCAGACCCCAGAACAAGGCCAGGCACGTAGTAGGTATACAGGGGACCCTTGGATATAAATATGCAGCCTCAGTTCACATACTTGCAGCAAAATCTTTTAAGTCACATAAACAGGGCTTTTTCCTTTCAAGGCCCCAAAAGGCATACTATGGAATGTTTATATAAAGTCTTCAGACAGAAATCAGGAAAGTATTTCCACGAAGAGTAATTCTAGTAGTTCTAGTAGTAAGTGACTTTAGATGTAAGGACAACTTTAAGTGCCTAAACGATGTGATTTCAGGAGTTATGTTACTGCCTCCTGCCCCTAAATTACTGTAGGTGTAGGGCAGACTTTCTATATCTCAACACTGTAGACATATGGAGTCAACGTTATTCTTTGTTATGGAGGGCTGTCCTGGATGAAAGAGATGTTTAGATGAGATAACCTTTGAGCTTGAGCTCCTTGGGCTTCAATATTCTCATCCATCAAATAACGACGATTTCTGCTATCTTCTATACCTGTGCTGCCCACACAGTAGCCACTAGCCTCACATGGCTATTTGAAATTACATTAAAATTAAAATTAAGTACAATGTAGAATTCCGTTCCCCAGTCCCACTAGTCACAGTTCACATGCTCACAGCTACATGTGGTTAGTGGCTACCATTCTGGAGAGTACAGAATGTTTCTATCACTGCAGGAAGTTCTAATGGACGACACTGCTTTAGATGGATGAGAAGGGCAATGAATAAAGACATTTATCTGAAAAACTATTTTGCCAGTTAGAATGGCTAGCACGGACAAGTGCACAGGATTATATACCATCAGCTTTGTACCTGTCCTTGCTAAAAAAAAAAGTACCTTAAACTTATTCCTATTAAATATGTACTCTAACAGAGTAAAAATACATCAAAACTCTCATTTTAACTGTCTCAGGTCACCTGCTGAGGCTCTAATTTGTTTACTAATCACCTACTATGTGTGTGGAACATGCCAGATACAAATACTGTATCCTGCTGCAGGCTCCAAATGGCACCAGGCACAAGGCTGAAGCTGCACCTGGGAGCAGCCTGTGACACCTAATGGAGGGGTTTGGTACCTTGGGTCCATTCCTTGCATCACTATCTCGTCCTGCTTGCACTCCATCATGTCATTTGTAAACATAGCGTGGAAGTACGGGATAGAGGCTGCTAAGACGATCCGGTGAGCACTGAATTTGTGGTCCCCAATCTGTGGGCAAAAGTAAAAACAAAGATAGAGACTGAGGAATGCAAACACAAAGACCCAACCTGCCCCTTCCACAGCTTAACCCTCTGTCCATGGGGATGGTACCGGAGGCATCCCACTACACGACAGCCAAGGCTTAGCATGGAGACCCATCAAGAATGTAAACAATATTTTAATGAGGTATTAAAATGGTTAAAAAATGTAAGCCTGAAAGCCTTGAGCAGTAATTTTTACTTATATGGTAGGCTTTGCTGCACCCCTCCCAACTCCCACATCAACTTAAAGACCTGGTTTCTCTAACACTTTGTCCTGATCCCAGTTTTATTAGAAGGCAGATGAAACAGACAAACTGGCCAAGAACCCTGGAGTTCCTGCAGTAGGTTCCTCAGAAACAGTAAATACCTAGTGACAGGAAAAGATGAGGAGAAACAAGACCAAACTTGAATAGGGGGTACCTGCGGGGATCAGGACAGAGCAGGTGTCATGGGCACAAATGTTGGGGGTCCTTGGGTACCAACCAGGCTGTGGTAGACCACAAGGAGCCCAGAGTTCCTCTTGGGAAAATGACCCTGGTAGCAGCCAGCTGGAGGCGGCTGATGTGGACTGGCGGGTGCTCTGTGTGGCCCACAGGGCTCAAGCCCATGGTCCTCATAGTGACAGAGGCAAACTCTCCAATTTGTGTTGAATCCTCACTGACTGACGCATCTTTAGCCTGGCGAGATCTATAAAGTGATTTCCACCCATCTGCCAAAAGGATATTCCCTTTCTAAGCTTTGCCATTTATAGCTCCAAGCCACATAAGCATCTCCACTGAAGAACATCCCACTCTTCAGAAAGAGCAAAACAGTCCTGCTTTTCCTTCACCTGAGATCCATATTAGTGAGGTGCAAGAGCATCTCACTAACCGATGCTCATCTGTTCGCGTCACATTTATGCAAGGATTCTAGCTCAGGCTGTCACTATGCTCTCTTTTTCAATGACCTTTAGTTTATTACCTGTGAACTATCCTTCAAGATCACACACACAATCTTCCAAATACCAAAAGATCCTTATCAGATTCAGATTCTCTGAGTTTCTCATATAATTCTAGGTGTCCCACAACTGGGGTTGGGGACATTAAATGGCTGTGTGCTTTGGGGGAGTTTTCATAATTTAAAAACATCACAGTAATACATACAAATATTTCTTAAAGTTCCATAAGGCTTTATGATGAAAATCAGCAGTTTCTGCCTCGCCATTTCCTGCTCCCAGGGGCAACTATTCCAGTATTTATTTCTACCTAAGTAATGTGCCTATTACTTCTTGATTTTTCACTTTTAGTTATTACTTGTGGTTGTCAGTCCAAATAACCCCCAATGACCTCTGCCTCCTGATAGTCACACTCTTGTGCAGTCCCTTCCCACAATGTCTCAGGGTTGGTCTGTGACTGACAGAATATAGCAGTGATGATGATGGTATGTCACGTTCAAGGCTACGTCATAAAAGGCACTTACTGTCAATATCCTCTCATCGTCTCTCCTGGTCCCTTGCTCCCAAGAAAGCCAGGTAACCACTCATCGCGAGGAGAGGTGCCTCTGAGGAGGGGCTGAGGCCTCTGCCTGTGGCAACCTGAGGGAGCCCCAGTCTGTGCCTGGACTGTACCCTACGAGAGGTCTCTAAGCTGCTTCTGAATTCCTGACCCACAGAAACTGAGATAAGAAATAAATGTTATTTTAAGTCACTAAGTTTAGGGGTGATTTGTTATTCAGCAAAAGGTAGCTATTACATTATCTATTTAATTCTTTTGACGGAAAGTTAGGATTTTGTTCTGACACTTTCTTTACAATCTACTCCAGTTATTCTATCTTTCAGTATAATTATCGTCAAATTCTGGTTAAATTAACAGTTACATTATTAGGACTACATGAATATTATTTATAGACAAGCCATGGTATATATACTATGATTACATTTCATTTGTTGTATAATTTTTATTTTCCCTGGAGATAATAAAAAAAGAGTAAAACTCCTTTTAATATGTTCAGTCGGGTACCCTGTCAGTTTGCTCTTGAGACATCCCTACGGGAAACCCTGTCCTGGGAATTCCTTTCGTCTCACTTACACTGGGACCCCATTTCCTGGATCCCATTTAATCTTCTTCCTTATTTATTCCTTTGTCCTGGTGGACAGCATCTTCTAGTAGAGCTTCCTAAGAAAGGGTCCACTGTAAACTGTTTTCACTCACAGCACTTCTGAAACCATACGTGTGGGGTTTTTTTTTTCTTCATACAAACTAATTCTCCAACTCTCCACACCAACGGTGTCCTACGATTTAAATCTGGCACTGACTAGGCTGTTAGAGTAGACACCACAGGTTAAGGGCTCAGTCCCACAAACTGGCCCTGCTTCAGGTGCCAACTGCAAGTCTGAGTCACTCATACCTCTGACCGATGGGCTAGAGTTGGTGGTGAAGGGGAGGGTTGCCCTACAACCTCACCTCAGCTTTCATCATTTGCTAGAATGGTTCGCAGAACTCAGGGAAAAGTTTACTTACTCTTACTAGTTTATTACAAAGGATACTTCTATAAAGGATACAAAAGAACAGCCATGACGAGGTACACAGGGCAAGGTCTGGAAGGGTCCCAAGTACAGAAGCTTCTGTCGCCATGGAATTGGGGTAGCCACCCTCC